AGAAGGCTTTACTCTGTAACAATACTATTACAGTATTATTTTAGCTAATTTATTAAGTTAATATTAGAATTGTCAAATCGGAATTAATAATATTATGATTGTCAAATCGGAACCAATCATAGTATACTATTTTATGCTAATTTCTGCTAAAATCTGTCTGAAATCAGCAAATAAACAGATTGACAAATAGTATCCAATCAGTATATAATCAGATTGCAATTAGATTGCAATTTTTATATCTATTTGTATCAATTTAACAAATTTTTTACAATTAGTAATTATACTGATTTATCTTTTTTTAACCTGTGATACAAACCTGTAACCTGTTAGTTAATTAAAAATCTAATCTATACCAATAATTCATGATATAAAAAATGTTTATCATTAATAATATTACCAATTGAAGCTGAATATTGAATTAACGATCTATATAGTTTGTATATCAGAATCCCGACATACAAAATTCCAACACATAAAATTCCAGCAACAAAATCCCAATACACAAAATCCTAACAAACTAAAATTCTAATTTTAATATCTTTAGAATTTTAATTTGTCAGGATTTTGTTTATCAGGATTTTGTTGCCAGGATTTTGTGTGTTGGGATTTTGTGTATCGGGATTCTGATATACAACCTCTTTGGGGCAAGATCCAGGTGGCCTAGATGGGAATCAAAGCATGAACCTATATCATCAATCTATCCCAATGCTAGAACAAGTTCATAAAGCAATCAAGGCACAAGGTGAATACACCATGTTGTGGTGGGCATGAAATATTAAACTAGAAAAAAAAATTTTTTTTTTATATGTAAAAAAAAAGTTTTTTGTTTTATATTCGTGTTGTGTTTAAAAGTAATGCAACACGTCATTTTAAATAAAGCTCGTGCTCATAAAAAATCTACTTCATTAATACATTCTAAGATTTTTTTATGTGAATACTATACTATTTACGAATAAAATAAAATAAAAATAAAAGGATACGCCCAGAATTGCGGGAAATAATGTAAAATTTTTTTTTTGTTGCACTACTTATGATCGCCAGTGTATACAGTATATTTAATTATACACTATACTTTACAATGAAAGTTACAAGTAAATTATATTTAAGCTTTATTTATATAGATCTTTAAACCTAATAAAAAACAAAAGATTTGTATAGCAGTATTAAAAATTATTACAGTAATAGCTCGGTTTACTGTAAGAATTGTTTACTATTGCAATCGCTATAAAAATTTTACGTATAAAAGTACAGTACATATGGAGACCCCCACAGCAAAAGGGTGCATTGGGACAAAAATTTTAATTTTGTAATTTTATAAAATTGTATTCCTATTAATCTAATTCTTCAAGAAATCAATTAAAATAAAATAAAAATTTTTTGGCCCAATGCACCCTTTTTGCTGTGGGGGGTCCCATATGTATTACATGTACGTTATATTTACAAATAATAAAAGTTTAAGGCTAAAATAATCAACGTATAATACAAAAAAAAAAATCCAAAAAAAACCGCAATTTAGGAAGTATGTAATTTAAAATCGGACCAAATTTGTTTCAAGGGTAATTAGCATTTAATTAAAAGTATTACTGTACCATGGGAAAAATCTTGTGCTACTAATATTAAATTAGGTGAAAACCTGCAATAAGACGATTATAAAAGAATATATGACACTTCAGTTTATCATTATTTACACAGCTGCATTGACTTTATTCTTTCTATTTATACTCGATTTTTGATGATTTAAGAAAAACAAAAATAATAATGTTTTTTAATTCGTCTTCACGGAAAGCGATAAACCCTTTAGACTTGAATATTGAAGAGCATCCAAATCTATTCAAGAAAATAGCGTATATTTGTCGGAGGACAATGTTTACTACATTACGCGGATTTCGCAAAATAAAGAATCGAATTATAATAGCGATAATTCTTTTAATGGTTATTTTATATTTATTTGGGTCTTCGATTCATTTACACTTTATAATGATAAAGTACAAACTCCGTAATAATTTATATGATCTGGGTTTATTACCTTGTTCTTTAAGGAAGACACCAATTTTATATATGATTGAAACACAAAAAATGTTAGTAGTCTGGGAAGCGAATTGTGCACTTAAAGATGTCAGAATTCGATGGTACGAAAACAGACCAAGTGATGGTATAGGTAAATTACTCGGCACGTCGAATATACTTGATCCTTTAACGTTAGATGATTATCATCATGTATATAAAGCGATTATAGGACCATTCGAAACTATATCTAATTATGAATATGAGATAATTCATAAAGAAAATGAACAAAAACCTGAAACCATAATCGCTTCACATTCCTTTCAATTTTTTCCTGATCCACCTGATAATTCTAGTTCAAGTATTTATCCTATAAAAATAGTGGCATTTTCTGATAATCAATTTGGACTCACCGTTTTTAATCGTCTTGCGAAATCTGCTTTCCAACGTCATACACCAAATTTTATTCTTCATGCAGGCGATGCCGTACAGGATTACAAAAATCTTCAACAATGGCAAACAGATTTTTATGATCCATTGACAAACTATCATTTATCACAACAAGCACCTGTTATTTATGCGCACGGAAATCATGATTATGACAAAAATAGTGTATACGCTTATACCACTGAGATACCTTGGTATTCATTTACAATAGCGAATACACGTTGGATAGTGTTAGATAGTAATATAGATGACATTAAACAGGATGAATGGCTTGTTCGAGAACTTTCTTCAGCTGAAACAAAAAATGCCGAATTTCGAATTGTAGTTGTGCACATTCCACCTTTTGTTGAATTTTGGGAACCTGGAGCATGGAATGACAAAAATGAAAAGCATTGGGGAGAATTTGTACGTACTAGATTTGTACCTTTATTTCGTACATACGGAGTAGATTTAGTAATAAGTGGGCATCAACATAATTACCAACGTGGACAATTAGATGAAATAGTATATGCGATTATTGGTGGATCTGGAGGTGAATTAGATCTTGAAAATGTAGAAGATTGGAAAATGTATGTGACTACGAAAAAAACACATCATTATGTCTTGATGGAGATTTGGCCGGATAAGATCATTTGGGTTGTATATGACCTTGAGGGTTTCGTAATCGATAAATTTGAAATGGGCAACGGAGTTATTTTTTCATCAATTTCATAAACAAGCTTATCGTAGATTACATATCTTAACAATTCAATATGTAAAAAAAATGCATTGAATTTGATTTGATCAAATTCTAATCTTTATTAATGTTAATTTATGAAAGAACAATCTGGATCATGTCAACTAGGAACATCGGAAGAAGGAGTGTTATCTCTATCATCATTGTCAATATTATTGTTCTGAGGAATAATTAAAAGGTTTTTCGCCACCAATCCATAACGATCAGAAAGTTTTAAGAATCGAGCATATAGTAGGTTTTCGTTCTACGAAATATTATTTTACATTAATGGATTGCTGGCACGTTATGTCAAAATAGGGATCTACAAATGCCCGTGTCCATGCCTGACACTAGTGTTTGCGAAAAAGCTTGTCCGTAGGGTGCAAAAGTTTCAACCATTTTGTAGACACGCATAAAAGCTCCAGGCGCTTTTGGGTCAAGCACTTTATGCTCTAGTGCCTAACAATTTAGGCCAAGCTTTCATGCTTACTTCATAAGTACCCAACTCGTGTCTAGCACATTGTGCCTGTGATTACAAAAGTGCCCAGCAATTTTAAGCTAGAAATTTTGCATCCGTGCCCCTTGCCCACGCCTGTTTTTTTGTTTAGCACAGGTACGTGCTGGGTCTGAGATCCCTAGTTAAAAATGACACAATTCTTACCTCAAAGGCTTCAAATACTTCACGATGGTGAAACCAAGCGTGAGCGAATATCCTATAAAGCCTTCTCGCTATGGATTGGTAATACTTTATTGAAGTTTCTGGTATTGATATTCTTTAATAACATAATAAAAGTGTTAAGCAAATACATCATTTTTGTAATTATCATAATTATCAAGTCAGGAAAACTAACCTGCTAGGAAAATATTTGTGGCTATTAAGCAATGTTGTTGCACCGTCCAAAGTGTGCACAATGTAATCGATCGCGCAACACTGAGTTTAATTTCGTAAGTGTTCGTTGCAGTCAAAAAAAGTATATAAAAAATTTTTATTTAATAAATAATTTGCCTACGTTCGTGGGGGCCGGATGGGCAGCACATAGATACATCCATTCATCGGCTTTCATTTCAGGACATGATTGGCGATTACATTCAGCTTCAAGTTGAATTACCAAATAATTGAGTTCAAGGCATAATTGTCTGTTAATTTATTATAGAATATATTGTTATTTGTCGTTTATAAATAGAGATATAAGTAATAAGTACCTCAAATGCTCATATTGCCAAGTATCTTCCTCATGACCCGGTGGCAATTCGACTAATAAGTCTATGTTTTCTCTGTTGGTTCGTATTAAGGATTGTAAATATTCCTGTAATGCGAATGCTGATTCGTAGTTTTCCAATGTTATGTGAGGGAACTGATATGCATCCTAATACGTAAAAATTAGTACTAATAAAAGGAAAGTTGAGCAGAAAAAAACTCTAGAGAAGGTGTTTATATTAACAACGTACTTCGAACTTAGTTCCGGGACGATTTCGCCGCACAGGAGTTGGTTTAAGAGTTGTTTCCGTTGTAGAGTCGGTCGATGTCATAATTATGATCAGCATCCATGAATGGCATAACGATAATATCAATTCTCTAACCAATTACAACTAGTCAAAAAATAACTACGTAGTCAGTCACACTTAAAATTTTATCATATCAGATTCATTCATAGATTACGTTAATAATACAGTACCAAGCCCGGTACTCAATTTTAAATTATTTGGCACTTTTTTTCTACAATTGTTCATATAATTCAAATTTCTCGAATATTATCATATATCCGGCATTCAAAATCTCGTATCACACAGATCCATGATTTTCTATCACTATTTCTTATTTTAGAGCTTTACAATGTTTTCCACACGTCGTCAATTGGAAAAGCGAACGGGTAAATCTGGTACTCCGAGGAAAGTCAAGAGTGTATTTAAAACTGTCGGCACTTAAAAAGTTCAAATAATTTATATAGTATGACTTTAATAGGCTCGAATACCTTCAACAACTAGTTACCGAATATCAGGACACAAGGGATCAAGGTATTTCGAATTTTATTAAATGTTTTTTTATGACAAGAATAACTTTTAACCTTAATTTCATGTCATTTGCAGAAGCAAAATATCAAATTCTTGCTAATTTGGTCAATTTCGCTTATGACCCTATCAATTATAATTGGCTTTGGCAATTGAACGTTGTTGATTTGTTTCTTGGTTTGTACAGTATTATTATTCTTTATGAACTTGAGTTTAGTCACATTTAATATATATATTTATATGATTGCAGATACTTTGACAGAATCTGATGAAAAGTTGAAGGAATTCGGTTTAGGAGGGTTGTGTAACTTGTGTTTAGGTTTGGTCCGTTTCATCGTTTTTTTTTTTTTTCCTATCATTTTCCATCATTTTCTGATGGTTTAAAAAAATACTAATCAAATCTTTTTTAGAGAAACGAAATAAAGAACATATAATAAATTATGATGGAGTGCCGCTAATAATTCAATGTCTACATGATAAAAATGAAGAGATAATGCTTTCTGCAATTACAACTTTGATGTTTCTTTTAACGGACAATGAAGAAAATGAAGGTATAATATTTATATCAGTTTATTAAACTCATTTCAAGTTTAAAAAAAGTTACCTATTTTTCATATAGATATTTTGTCTGAGTCTGTTAAAAAACGTCTGGAGCACTTGGCTCAGTTAGAAAATAAGCGTTTAAAGAATTTGGCAACAATATTTTTACAGGACTACTTTTCAAAAACTTAATTTGATCAATCTATATTTAGAATCTATAAAATTATTGCAACATATCGTTATCTCCCGAAATTAAATATGTAATTAATATATGAATTTACGAGAAACCTTCATTATGTAGCATGTAGCTGCAATATGCATTGCGATCATCTTTTTCTTTTCTATAGTTATAAAGAATTTCGCACATAGTTCTGCAGTTAATCATAATTAATGTAATGCATACCAAAATCACATTATATACATATCTGTACTACCACCATAAACGATAATAAACGTAAATTATAAATTTACATTTCTGGATTTATCCACATCAATCGTTTTTTTTTTTTTTTATAACCAATTTATTCAAATAACATAAATAACATTGAAGAATTCATGGATGAAGTTGAATATAAAAAAGCAAAAGAAGATTGGGTTACCGGCCATGAAGGCGGATCCATGTGGGAAATATATTCTATATCATTTGTTCTTTTGGTAAGAGTTAACCTAATTTTTGATTAAAAAAAATCAAGTGATCGATTAAATAATTCACATTTATCAATCATCACAGAATTCATTTGTTTTATGGTCGGCAGCGGCCAAATATACTAAAATTTTCGACTATGCTTCTAATAATATCATCTCGAACTTTCTATTAGAATACATGTTTCTGATTATTCCAAGTCTTCTCTCATGCACTTTATTGGTAGACTTTGCTTTTTACTTAAATGTAATTTTATTAATTTTGACCTTTGTGATAATCAACACATCATCAATGAAATCAACGAGTGATGAAAAGAAGAAAAAGAAAAATAGATGGGAAAGTGATTCGGATGAAGAAGAAATAATTGAATTATCAATAAATGAAGATAAATTAGATGATAAGAATTTAGCAGGAGCTGATTCTAAAAGCACAGAGAAGATTAATATTGATGATATTAGGAGGAAACCTTTCTTGAGCGCATTTAGGTCTAGTATGATGATTTTAACTTGTTTGTCTATTTTGGCGGTGGATTTTCCGATTTTTCCAAGACGGTTAGCAAAGACAGAAACTTACGGAACTTCACTCGTACGTTATTTTATTTATATATTATTATAGTGTCCAAAAAATATATAATATATTAACATATTTTAAATAGATGGATCTTGGGGTTGGTTCTTTTGTGTTTTCATCAGGTATCGTGGCTGCACGACCGTTTTTGAAAAAACCAGAAAACCGTTTCAAACCACTCAGAGGACAATTATTAAGAGCAGTCAGACAAGCATTACCAATATTAATACTTGGATTTATACGACTAATGATGGTAAAAGGTGTTGATTATCAAGTATGTAAGAAAGACTCATAAAAATGTTTTAAAGAATTTCATCACATTAATCTTATTTGTTCTTAATATTATATTAGGAACATGCTTCCGAGTATGGTGTACATTGGAACTTTTTTTTCACACTTGGATTTTTGCCCATATTTGTCACTATTTGCAGAACTCTTCATAAATATATCCGTTTCTCTATTCTTGGGTTGTCTATTGCTATTCGTAAAGTATATTTTTAATAAAATTAGACAATGCAAAAGCTACTAAATTTTCCATTATCTAATTTTTATTTTCTTTTATAGTATATCAAATTGTTCTTAATAGACTTGGTCTTGAAGATTACATACTATATGCTCATCGTACTGATTTGATTAGTTCAAATAAAGAAGGCATATGCAGTTTTTGGGGTATAAAAATTTTATTATTTTCAAATTTATTTATATATAATTTGATCATAATTAAAATAATCCATTTCAAAAATATAGGCTACCTATCTGTGTTTCTGGTTGCATTAGATATAGGTCATTACATATTACCAGTTGATCCTTATTATGCGATTCGTCAAAACCGACAAAATAAAAAAAAACCGAAACCACAAAAATTAGCCATGATATTATTTTCATGGGTAATTTTACTTTGGCTTGGATTCATGTTATGTATAGCACTTAGAATTCCAGTATCTAGGAGGATTGCGAATTTAAGCTATGTATTCTGGGTGATAGCTTCTAATACAACTTTTTTGCTATTGTTTCAAGTTGCGGAAATAACATTTCTTGAAGAATATTGGAAAAATGAGAGAAATTTACCAATGATTATTGAAGCCGTTAATTCTAACGGATTGGCTGTATTTCTTTTGGTAAGCCTTTTTTTTTTTGGCCAATTCTATTTTGACCTGGGTCAAAGTGACCCATCACATGACCATATACCTAAGAATTTTTCAAAACTTTGAGCGAAATTATCTCGATAACCATCTAATCAAATTCGATAAAACTTTTTTTATTTAAATCTTGATTCGTAGAATTCGAATAAAAAATTTTCATCGAATTTAGTCAGGTAGTATCGAAATAACTTCGCTCAAAATCAAAACGCCTATCAAAATAGAAACTGCTCCAAATTTTTGAACGAAGATATTTTGACACCCATCTAACCAAATTCGATAAAACTTTTTTTATTGAATTTCCTGGATTCATAAAATCAGAATAAAAAAATTTTCACCGATTTAGTCAAGTGGCTGTCGAGATATCTTTGCTCAAATTAGAGAAAAATTTGGCATAGCTTCTATTTTGATAGTCGTTTTGATTTTTCTCTAACTTTGAGCGAAAATATCTCGACAACCATCTGACTAAATTCGATGAAGATTTTTTATTCAAATTCTATGAACCTATAAAATTAAAATACAAATGTTTTAATGAATTGATTTGATGGTTGTCAAGATATCTTCACTCAAAATTTTAAAAGAATTTGGTATTTTGATAGGCGTTTTGATTTTTTTCTAACTTTGAACAAAGGTATCTCGACAACTGCCTCGATGAAATTTTTTAATTTGAATTCTATGTATCCATAAATTCAAATAAAAAAAGTTTTAGCGAATTTGGTTTGATGGTTGTCAAGTTATCTTCGATCAAAGCTTTGAAAAGAATTTAGTGTAGTTTCGATTTTTTTTCTAACTCTGAGTGAAGATATCACGACGAACACCCGACTAAATTCGATGAAAAGTTTTTTATTCAAATTCTATGAATCCATAGAATTCAATCAAAAAAAGTTTTATTGAATTTGGTTTGATGGTTGTCGAGATATCTTCAATAAAAAAAGAAAAATTTGGTACAACTTTATTTCATAGGCGTTTTGATTTTTCTTTAAACTTTGAGCGAAGATATCTCGATAATTATCTGACTAAATTTGATGAAAAATTTTTTATTTGAATTCTATGAATCCATAGAATTCAAATAAAAAAAGTTTTGTTGAATTTGGTTCGATAGTTGTCGATATATCTTCGATCAAATTTTTGAAAATTCTTGGGCATATGGTTCATTTTGACCCGGGTCAAAATAGAATTGACCTTTTTTTTTCATTTTTATTTTATGAATTGTTATTTTTTTTATTTTCTAATTATATACTTGCTTGATTGAATTAGGCTAATCTATTAACAGGACTAGTTAATTTATCTATACGCACTTTATTTGTAAATGATAGTTTGGCTGGATGTATATTAGCAGGCTATATGTTTATTATTGTTGTCATAGCCGTATGGTTTAATATTAATAATTGGAAATTTAAATTGTGAGGTGGATTGCATGTTAATTATCTTGATTTGGTTTTGGTGGAAATGCGATATTTTATAACTTGGTTGAATTTACCTTCCAAAAAATGTCGTTTGCATTTTTAAAATATTTTATAGATATACATATATATATTTAAAGGACTTAATTATCTGGTCAAATAAAAGGGCCACACTGTATTATCATAGATTTTTGCGTAAATAAAAGCATAGAGAATTAAAATGAATTCATTGCTTATTATAACTATAATTTTGTTTACAAACGGTTGAGAGGATGTATTATGACAATTTTTTCTACTACGTATCTCAATTTAAGAGCGTTTTTTCTTTTATGATCAGCGAAAGGAAATACTGAGATCTTAAAAATCGATTAATTTTCGGCTTATCCATTTCAAATTCACGTATTTCAAAGGTAAGACCTTAACCCCTAACACCAGTCCCTTCTCCAGAACCGGGGTATTTATCCCCGTACTAAACATGCTAGACTTTCGGTAACCGACGCATGGTATTATTCACACTTGGAGTCAGGGCTAACCATTAAACCTCTGTTTGTTACCTACTACCGCGTCGATTCCTTAATATCGAAGAGTATAAGAGAATTTGAAATCGACTAACTTTAATTTTTCCAATTATAAGATCTACGCATGTCCAATCAAATTTTATAAGCCACATCATATATATATAAATAGATGTATTGCGAAACATTTCAGACAATTTTTATTTCAGTTCGAGAAGGTACATTTAAATGTCTATTATTGTATTATTCGTATGATCTTTTTACGAGAATAATTCGTGAATAGAATTTATCTAATAGATAAATGCTCACATTCTAGTAAACAACGAGACGTATACAACTTTCAGCCAATATGTTTCTCTTAACTCGGCAAACCCGTATATCTTTGATGCATCAAGTGATTTTACCTTTAACTACAAGTATCACTAAAAGTAATTCAATGCTTCTCAATTCTATTGGATTAGTTCGCGGAATGAAAGTTAGATCATCTGTGAAAAAATTATGTGATGGTTGTTATACTGTTAGAAGACGTGGAACTGTTTTCGTACTTTGTAAAAAGAATAAAAAACATAAACAAAGGCAAGGTTAAATATATATAAAGATTATTTCAAGTAGGAAAAACTAAATGATGTAATATTGAGCGATGCAACAAGTTTAGATTCATATATAAATATTTTCTTAACGAACCTTTAAATTGTTATTTTGGTCGATTTCGAATGTCATGATCAGTTTTGATATAATAAAAATGATAAGAACGCTATTCACAAGATACCACAACTTTCACTCGAGTTTTTTTTTCAACTAATTAAAAATATTTTACTTTTATCTAACATTTATTCTATTATGAAATTAAAGTAAATTCACAAATACTCCTTAAAGTGACTAGCAATAGATTTTGATTCAACTATTAGTTGACCAACTGATAATTAGAAAAATTTTTGATATTACCTAAAATATTTTCGGCATCCGAAATTATCTTTGGTATCCTATGTAACTAATAAATATAATACATATTTTTTTTGCATATTTCCTATCTGTGTTGTTATTAGACACGTCCAATTAGACATGGCTAATTGGACATAAGGCTAAAAGGGCTAATAAATTTGGATTGGACCTTATAAGTCCAATTGGCCTTAATATATTAAGAAAAAAAATTTATAATATATACAGTATAATTATTAGATAATCTCTCAATAAACAAGAACAGGTCAGTGTTGTACATTTTCATTGTCCAAAGATTTTTGAGTGAAGTTTTCTCAATAATCACCTGTCCAAATTCAATAAAAATTTTTTTATTTTAATCCTACAAATATATAAAATTAAAATAAAAAAATTTTCATTGAATTTGATTAGATAGTTATCAAAAAAATTTCACTCAAAATCTTTGAACAATGAAAATGCACAACACTGAGTATGTATGGTAAAGAACCAGAAAATTCTAACAATATTGATACACTGAATCAGTATAATATAAACTTTAAAATAGGATATTTTATCTCATGCTATACAAATCTGTTATCATAATTTGTTAAATACCTCAGTAAATTTAACCAATCGAATAGTGTTTTAAGCCGGCTGAAGTAGCCACGGCTAAGCCGGCTTAGCCAGTTAAGCCAGCCAATATAAAGCTGTCGGCTGGCTAATGTGGCTAAGGGTCACCAATCACCTAATAAGTATTTTTTTATATAACCGAGTCGAATACATCGGAACTAGGCCGGCATTAAGCTATAATGCTAGAAACCTATATTATAACAAAATTAACGTTTGGACAAGTACATAAGCTACAGCATTAAATTTCGATTATTTCAACCCGGAATTTTGGTCAGTTTGGTTGTAGCCCAGCCGACTAAAATCATGTGGCTTAAATCACTACAATCGAACCACGTGACCACAACACCAAATATACACCCAAGATATAATGTATAAGCTGAAGGTTCTTGACCTAAGACCTTTAAAGCCAATTAGACATATGGCTAATTAGTCAATTGGACATGGACAACAACTAAGGTTAATTAGCCACTTGTCCAATTAGTCATATGTTCAATTGGACAGGGCTAATAATTTTTTATTGGACTTAAGACTAATAATAACACTGGCATCAAAGGGTGAAACTTTAGAAATACAGGATATAAGGACGCGTCACTTAAGACGGGTGAGTACGGATCATTATTTGGCCAAAATCCGATTTGATCCGGTCTTCGCAGATATATAATTAACGATCAACGTCAATAAAAATGCAGCAAAAAAATGCAGCATTACTCTTCTGTAAATAATGACTATATTTTATTTACACCACAGCCCTCTTTGCGACGCGTAATAAACCGTCATAGCAAAGATTCCCTACTTAGAATCGTAAAAAAATGGCTTGAAATACCGCAACTTATTCCGAAATATCAATCAAGTTCTGAGGAAAATAATGAATATCAACAAACAAGATTATGGCAAATTTACGAAAAGTTATCTGGTGGCAAGAAAAAAATTGTTGATAAAATATATTTTGATGATTGGGTAGATTGAGTTCATTTATATTTGATTTGCTGAATTTTACGCGCATTAATTTTTAATCATTCTCTTAGAAAGACGGTTTAACATATTTACAAGTTGCACAACTTGATATTAAATGTAATATTTATTAACTTTAGATTTATTTTCAAAATTAATTTCATTAAATTGAATTCAATTTTTATTCGATACAAGATTTCCATGATCATCCTAATCTTAAACAGTGGAAAGCTTTAAAACTTTGTTGGGATAACGGTATTGTAATGTTTGTTATTCATTTTAATATTTATAAAAAGTGTACAATAATAATCTTATTGTGATTAAGGTGAATTTCGGAGGGAATTTCATAGTAAAGAAATATTTCGTTCAACATTATCAAAGCATCTTTCGCTATTTTTTGTAAATGTAAGTTACATATATTAATCTATGTCAAATAGTTTATCAATAATTGTTAATGTATTTTTATACAATTTTTGGCGTTTAGCATCTTTACATCGAAGTTTATGATAAAAATTGGTGGTTGCGCATTAGTATTCATGATAGTACCTCACAAAATTCCCTCCCAATCAACACAAACATCATTTACTTGATATATTTTACCAATTCCGAACATTTATTGTGCAGCAATGTTAAGCGTGAACATAAAGAATTTATATTGCAGGTGTATAGGCATTGGGAAATGTTGCAAAATGCGCAATTCTGCTATGATGCTATGTATTAATTTCATTCTTTTAAAACTTAGAGTTTGTTGAAAACTTTTGCGTGTCAGCAGGTTGAAGAATGTGAATTGAAGGGAAAATATGTGAATTCTTTAGAACAATTATTATTACATCAAAAATCCCAAGGAATCTACAGTCAATATCGATTAAATCAGGTTGATAATAGTCCGCTAGAACATATTTCAAAAAGATCCAATACAGATGGTATAAGTTTTTATATGATGTCATAAACCTTACTATGAATTATAGAATAACGGATCTATTGTTTTATTGATATTTTGTAGCTCAATTGAAATCGAAAGATAATGCAGTAGATGATAATTTTGGTCCCAATGAACAGCCATCTCTTGATGTTGTTGAGATTAAGGTAAAAACAAATTTAAATGCTATCAATGCTATTGTTTCCCGTTATATTACATAAATTCATTATCATAAATTTTAGTTGGATATGCCGTTTAATACATCCGATGATAATCAACCTGAAGAGACACCGATATCGACAACAATCGTATTTAAAGGATCAAATGTGATCGAAGGAATTAAGAAGATGGTGACTTCTGGATATGCTGTATCTCCATTACCAAAGTTTTTAGTAGAACTACATAGTAACAGTAAGAATTATATAGAAGTTGTCCAACAAGAAGACTAAAGATTAAATAAAGCGGGTATTGGTAACTACGTTTAATGTCAAGTCAAAAGATTGATTCTATGCTCTAAATTCTTTCGCATGAAATTATCGATAATAGAAAATTATCACTTGTAATATTTAATATATATATTTTAAGGAAGGAACCTTACCTCTACATTTATTACAAATTTGCTGTATAGTACAAGTTTACTGTTTACTTCCAATTATTATATATATCAATTTTTATCTCGCAGGGCTCTTAGTGACTAGTTCTTCTATTTTAGATTCTACATCTTTTGATGAAAGATTATTTAGTATAACTTTTGTTTCTTTGCCAAAGTCTAATTTGAAATAAAAATGTATATTTTATTATTCAGAGCGAAGTAGAGAACTCAATTTTTATGCGATTTGATAATGATATGCACTTTTTAACGGTCACGCAATTTATAACGATATTCTTCGAAACAAAATTATTATTGAAAATAGTGTAGTGTCGTTTATTGGTTCTTATCAATTCGGTATCAGATGCGTCATTTTTAATTACGTATCACGTATAAAGCCGAGGAAAAAAGGTTTACTATTTAAGTAGTCTCTTGAACAAATACTGTACTAGAAACATATATTAATCAAAGAAAAAATGAGAAAATTCGGCAAGCCGCTATTCTAACAAAAATGTAAATTCGTAAAATATCCACATTCTAATATCAATAAGGTGAAGCGGACAAATAATTGCTCTGTAAAATTATTTGCTTTCATTAAAGCAGATAGATATATACTAACAACCAAAATTTTCAAATGTAAAAATTTATTTATTGCAAACATTTTAAATATAACATGTTTTATATATATATAGTACTGTATAACGAAAATTTGTATGGCCTAACTGTTATTTTATATCTGCGGTTTTTTTTAGGTTTTTTAATAAAATATTCTATAATTCGAATTTTTCAATATGCTACCTGTCTGCTTCAAATATAAATTGTGAAGAGGTTTATTTACAAAAAAAGTTTAATTATAAATTGCGAAGATTATTAAGATTATCAAATTACATTTAGATTATCATGTCGTCAAACGACCAATCAAATACAAACGACAAATAAAAGTTACTACGTGACATTGTAATATTTTCTCCATTTTTTATACTTTAGCAATGATGATTTCCACTACCCCGACAATATGTATTCTTGGCTGTGGCACCATGGGCAAAGCTATTTTGACAGGGATTTTAAATGATGTGAATGGAGTTATTAAAAACAATTATTCAGCTCCCAATACAACCTCGTTTAAGCCACGAAAATTTATCGCATGCGTTTCAGGGGAAGAAACGGCTCAGAAAGTGATCAATCTTTTTGGAGAATCGGTTACAGTTACAGCTGGGCAAAATGTAAAAGGTGTTGAAGAAGCTGATGTCGTGTTATTATGGTAAATTACTACTTACATTTACCTAATTTACCTAAAGAATTTTAGTCAGACAGACATTTAAAACATACTTATTGATAATTTTTCGTTCAAAAGCACAAAACCTCAAATAGCAAAAACAGTTTTAACTGAGGATGGTATGGCTGAAGCACTAGAAAACAAATTAATTATTAGTATTTTAGCCGGAGTATCGTTAAATCAGTTAAAAGAATGGGTCCCCAAGTCAACGACGATCGTACGCGCTATGCCGAATACTCCCTGCATGGTTAGGTTATATGAATTTAATATATTATATTTCATTGATAATATCACTTTTAAGTAATTATAATGTCTGTTTTTTTTTCTTTCTTACGTGAATATCTTCACTTTGATTGAATTATCATTTCATCTTGTAAATTGGTTAGATTCAAGAAGGTATGACAGTAATAAGTTGTCCCGCCAATACTAACGTTGATGACAGAGCTTTTGCAATGTGGGCATTTTCTACGTTGGGTAGGGTGAGGGTTTTGGATGAAAAGCATTTGGATACTGTTACAGGATTATCAGGAAGTGGACCAGCGTTCGCATGGTAATATGCTTATGTTTAAACATGCAATTCAAATGATCTTTATTTTATCATCAATTTGATTATTTGAATTAATGATAGTGTTGTGTTAGAATCTCTCGCTGATGGTGGTGTAATGATGGGACTTCCACGTGACGTTGCTCTTGAATTGGCAGCTCAAGGTAACAAATAAAAATATTTGGATTTTTTTTAAATCAAGAAATAACAAACTACTTTAATTTCAATCAAAAGCTCTTCAAGGTGCAGCACGTATGGTTCTTAAAACTGGCAAGCATCCGGCCGAGATCAAGGATAGTGTTACAACTCCAGCAGGATGTACAATTGCGGGATTATTAACAATGGAAGATGGCAAAATTCGTTCTACATTAGCAAGAGCTGTACAGGAAGCTGCCAATGTTGCTTCTACTTTGGGAAAAGTTCAGGCTAATAAATAATCTATTTTCTAATATTATTTATGATCTCCCAATTTAGAAATTTAGGGCTGGTTTCTTTTTAAGAAAAAAAAATTAAATAAAATTTGAGTATTTAAAACAAAATTATATAATATATATACTTTAAAAAGAACTATATTATATAAAATTTTTTTTATAAATTCTTATCTGAGATATAAATTTTTTTGTGCCGGATTATAGTAAATATATATAGCTATAGCACTGTAATAATCATTCTAAAATTTATAATAATTGAAGTGATCTTTATATCAATTTTGCCGAAAATTTATTGTGCAAAATGCGGATTTTAAATATATTAAGTAGAAATTGAATTCACTTACGTTTATTTAGAATCTCATTACAATTTAGAATTTGATTTTGACATATGATATTAATGCTAAATTAATGTAGATGAGAAATATTACAGCATTATTAAACCGTATTAAATTTTATACTCTAACTAAATTAATGCAAATGGAATAAAAAACAAAAGGAAAAAATTACATAATTAATTAAAGATCTAAGAAAAAGAGTCTCCGAAAATACATTTCCGCCTCAATATCAATATTATTATTGCTAAATTTAATAGAGTTAGTATCATCAAATACTTTTGCCATCTCCATCCCTCTATTAGAACAAAGTCGATTATAAGAAATATCTAAAAAAGTTAGGGAGTATTTACACAAAGTGCTCTTGCTAATGCTTTTTCACCCACAGTACCAATATTATTTTTAGAAACATCTAGAGAAGTTAGTGCTGTATTCAAATAAAGAGTGTTCCCCTTTTAATAAAATATAATTATACGAAAGAATCAAAGAAGTCAATCAAAGTGCATCTGCTAGTACTTCTCCTTCTTCAGCTTTAACATTAGAATTTCTAAAATCCAAGGAATTTAGAGAACGTAGTGCTTCTATTAACGCTTTTTTATCTTTGATTTACTAACATTTAAAGAGGTCTAAGGTGACATTCTTGCGAAGTGCTGCTGTTAATTCTTCTCCTCCACCTCCAAAAGAAGTTAAGGTGGTGTTATTATTAAGTGCCCTTGCTAATGCCTCGACTTCTGTGGAATAGAGAAGGAATTGCTATTAAGTTCTAAGTAAATAATTGAATCGTGTTCTTTATTGCTTGACTATATAATAAAAGTTCCTGTGTTATTTAATATATACATAAAAATATACAGTATTTGTATATCTAATATACAATTAATCATTTAATTTTCTTTTTTTTTCTGTTTCAATTTCTTCAAGACATCTCTCAAGTTCATTGATTCTTTCAACCAACGATTCATAGTTATTAACTGGAGCTAATTCTATCATAACCTATTGCAGAGTTGTTGAAGTTCACACGCTTTTGATAATTTGGGGATGAAGCCAAGTAGGTCGGGTAGTCATTTTATATATAGTTCCATTAATTTTTAAAAATCTGGGACGATTTGTCAGAGTTACTAACATCTAACATGTACATTTTTTCACTTTCTGTAAATAACTTCTTGGCGTCCAGGTCTTCAAGGTTGATTATCCAAGAATCTGAATATTTTTTTAGAATTTCAATTAAAGAAAGAACTTCAGGCATTACTTGATTCCACCTATCACTATTCGCCCAAAGTTGACTAATAGAAATTCAAAAGAACTCGCAAGTTGCACAAGTTTTTGTCGAGACAGTTGATTTTTTTTATGATGGCCAGTATAATAATATTCATAGGTTTTACCATCTTTATATGTTTTCAACTGTGTAAAAAGAATTGGTAAATAATATGAACGTGTACAAAACTTAATTTATTACAATGGTCTTATATGGTATCTTCGATGCACGTTCCGGTTGACAACACCCATTTCTCATTTTCATCTATTTTATTATTTAGATTAATTCAATGTTTTTTGTTAATATGTGTGGATTTGACCATTTGTTGTTCGTTATCTTTAACTCTTGATAATCAATAACCTTTTGCAAAGATCTTATTTTATGTGTTTTTTTTTTTTTTCTTGTAAATCCCTCACAACCGCTTAATAAATCTTTTGGTGTTGTTAGTGGCAAAACCAACGAAACTCACTACGCCGAATTCGATGTCACGGGACCCGAAAACATGACAAAGCCCCGATTCGAAGCTCCCATGAAATCGTGGAGAAATCGTGAGGAAAAGGTTTTTACAAAGCCCCAAGGCCACAAGACTCTATGTTTGGGGCAGTGCTAGAAGCTTAGCCGGAGGAGGCAAAGAGATAATGGCATCATGAGATGGGCTTAGATTAGAATTAGAATTCGATTTAGTTCCCCCCGCATGTAAAATTCGTTATAAATACGGGCTTGTTTTGCCCTTAATAAAGAAGAGGAGTGTTTGCTCAATAAAAATCACTTTTTGGTCCCACTATATACTTGGTACGCCTTGACCTGGCCAAATCGTAATCTGCTTCTAGTATTGAGTATATAGAGTGGTTGTGTTGTCTTGTTTCTGTTTTGGGTGGTGATTGGGTGATCCGCGTTTTGCCCTTTTGCTACCAATAGTGTATATCCAAAACCTACCGCGCATTTATGTGATAATCTAAATTTTTACAAAAATACTGTTCTTGATGGATCGACCATACGGATCTGGCATATTAGGCCTCCGCATGTTATAGACAGAAATTCGTCTGATTGGCTGATGTAGATCAATTGCCTGGGTAACTTACTTATTTATATGCTTTAGAGTACTTTTCAAAAACTCAAGTGTTACAAACTAACACAGCAAAAATTTTTGCATATATCGCTTCTTTAGAGTGTCAAAAGACTGCCTTTAAAAATAATCTCTAATAATCTCTAATTTAAGCAGTGTTAGCTTAGTCGTGACTTTCTGAACTAGGTAAAAAAAAAAAAAGGATTTATTTGAATTTTAACACGCACTAAAAAAATAGTTACTAACAAATAGCAGTTTTTTTTTTAGAGATCGGAATTTCAGATTTGGTTTTTGAAGCGGAATAAGCTTGTTAGTAGTATTAGCAATAAGAAATTTAGGGTTAAAGTACTCTTAAGTTGGGTTGGTTTTTAAGTTTGGGTTTATAGATCATAGATATGAGCTTGGGTTCTTAGATAGTTCTGTAGTTAGATTTAGTAAGTTTTGGTTGTTTTAGTAGTTGAACACTGCTTTTACTCCTCTTTACATATATTCGCCTATCTTTTATATGTATATAATTAGTATTTTTACCGTTTATTATAAACTTTTTTCTTGAAGTTCATTTTTAGTCTGTAATATTGTAAAATAACGAATAAAAATTGTGTAATTTGATTGGTTAATCATCATGTGTGGATTTGCAAATCAATCTAAAAACTAGCCAATCAGACAAACTTCTGTCTATGACTTCGCATAGCCTGGGCTAATGAATGGCGCTATAATTCAAACTGCAAGATGTAATAATGTAAAAATTATTGTCGCAGCTGATGCTGAAATTTTTTCATATTTTATTATAAAATTATAAAAAATTTTTGGGCTTTTTTTTTACACTTTTTTTTCATAGTTAGGTTAGGGTTAGTAGGGTAGTTTTATTAATAAAAAAGTATATGTAGATTTTAGTAGATATTATAGATTTAAATAGAGACCCCAAATTTCAGCATCAGCTGTTTTCAGCATTAGCTGCGACAATTATTTATTACAAAAAGTAGTAATTGTAATAATATTTATTACATGTATGGTGCAGAGCACCTAAAGCCATCAAACTTTTATAATTTTTTTAAATTAAAATAAACTAAAAAAAAGTTTTTGTATATTTAATAGCTTTTTGATTAAACTATTAAATCCACAAAAAAAATTTTTAGTATCTTTTATTTTAAGAAGTTTATATCAATTTAAAGTTATATATAATTTAAAAATTTGGCATTTATTTATAAAAAAACATAAAATTTAAATTTATTACCAAAATTTTAAAATTTATTAATAAAATTTAAATTTATATTAATTTTTTATACATTTTTATTGGTCAATTATGTTACACTACAGCTAAAAAATTGGCGTCTATATATAAAATTTGTTGGCTTTAGATAATCTCCACCATAGTAAATATTATTACATATAATAATATTTTACTATGTAAAATTATTATTACAGGTAGTATTTATTATTACAATTATTACAAGTAATAATTTTACTATATGTAATAATTATTGCTTTATATAATATTTATTATCACATATATACTTATAATGATTATACTTAGAGATGGGCATGCATGCCAGGGACCTGCAAAAATTTGAATCCAAAATTTTCCAAAATTTTTTAAATTTTAGTACCAAATTTCTAAATTTTCAAATTTTTGTGCTTATTCCAAATTTTTGCCAAATTTTTGACCAATTTTAGGATGCATGTGATCTGGCCAATCAAAATACATGGTCAATTAATATATCAGATATATATAAATTACGTATTCAATTTTCATATATATATAAATTATTCAATTTTATGGAACGTTTAAGTTAATTCTCATCATGAGCATACAAAAGTGAAATGATGTTTTTTTGAGTATGAACATTTTTTTTTTTTGAATATAAACGAATAAAAAAAAAAAAAAAGAGAGAAAAAAAAATGGGACCTAAAAAAGTCACTGCTGCTAGCTGTGCACAAGAGTTTTCAGAAGACTTTGTCTTGGATTCTGGAAAACTTATGTGCCATTTCTGTAACCACAGCATTAATTACCAAAATAAAGCTTTTATCACCATACACATAAATAGTAAAGTGTATAATAATAAACATGAAGCATACTTAAACTCCAAAAATAAAAACCAGCAACAATGTCTTTTATCATCTTTGACTGTGGCAGACAAAAAAAAAAAAATTATTTGTGATCTTGTTACAGCATGAGTTGAGGCAGACATACCAATTAAAAAACTTGACAAGTTTCAAAGCTTTTTAAATATGTACTGTAAAGAGGGTGGTTGTATACTTTCGGCTGGTACTTTACGTCGATCATATTTGCTAAAAGTTTTCGATGAACATTTAAAAGATTTACATTGCATATTTAGTAAAAAACCTATTGCAATTATAATCAATGAGACAACCAATGTAAAAGAGCGTAGTGTAGTTAACACATTATTTTTATATCAAGGAATAACAAAACTTATATCAGTCGATTATTTGCAACAAGTGAATTATTCAACTATAGGTGGTCTTGTTTTACGCCTTTTAACTGAATAGAATATTTCTTTTACACTTCCAAAGTTGTTTGTTACTGATTCTGCTTCGTATATGAAGAAATGTTTTTGCAAAGCTATAAGTCTTGTAATGCACCAATTAAAGCATAATACTTGCCCAGCTCATATTGTAAATTTAATTGGGTAAATAATAATTATCATTACAACGATGGTATTATTATTTATCAATATATATATTAATAAATTTTAATTTTATTATTTTAGAGAATCATAGCTGTCAATTTTTCATTTTGATCTTGTTAAAACGTTCATTTCAAATATCAAAAAAATGTTTATACATTCTAAAGCTCGTAGATCTCGCTATATGAATTGCTTAGTGCAGCATGGATTGAATCAACAATAAAGTCCTTCGCTTAAATTTATACCATTACCAGCTGCAACTCGTTGGGATACTTGGTTTAGAATGGTGTTTTATGTTCACAATTATTTGGACTATATGCAAGAATTTTATAATGATAAATTGCAAATTGAACTATCTGAAACAATCAAAAAAATTGTCGATGTTTTTAATAATCCTGATGAAAGTGGATGAGTGCAAATTTATTTGACCTTTATTTAGCATTATGCTGAAAAATTTATTTCTGATCTTAAGTTCTTTCAAAAAAAAAATGAACTTGTAATCCAATACGTCGAAAGTAGGATTCAACAACTCAAAAGTTTTTTGAAAAGTGGTGAATTAAATACTGATTTGGAGGTGAAGTAAATTCCTGTATTACAAATCTTGGGTCAGATCCGAGTCTTTTTAATGGTGTATTTCAAATGGCTTTTACTTCTGCTTATACAAAATTCAATAATCACTTTTTACACCATCCTTCCCATTCTCTTTTTATTGCTGTGCAAATTTTTGATTCACAATTTGTAAAATTAACTATTGCTAACCACAATATTCAAAATTATTCAACCCAGATTTTTGAGTTAAAAAATCCTTCAGATGCTTTGTTAAGAGAATGGTCATTTTACTGTAATTTAGATTTAACTTTAGTTAAGTTTAATAATTTAGGTGAATTTTGGGACAAAATATTTTCTTCGCTACCACTTTTAAGTAAGATAGCTTTGATTTATATTTGGTTGCCCATTTCTTCTTGCACTGTAGAGAGAAGTTTCTCTGTTTATAACAACATTTTAGAAGATGACAGGCAAAATTTAAGCAAAGATTCTTTAAAAATGTTGAATATGCTTTATTTTAATCAACATAAATAATAAATTTTAAAGCAGAATCTTGGGTTGCACAATAATCTTATTTTTGATTGGTTAATAATGCTTTTTTTAAAATAATCGATATTCAAAATAATTCCAAATATTTAAATTTTTATCTAAATTTTATCCAAATATTTAAATTTTTTATCTCAAATTTATCTAAATTTCAGCCGATACCCAAATAAATTTTTACAATTTGATATCCAAATTATTGCAGGTCCCTAATGCACGCCTAATCCTGCATGTGATGCATATTATTTTTTAGAACCCATGCAGGATTTTTAATATAACCTGAGTAAAATTATCTGGTTGGCATTACCACATAATCTAACTGGCATTAATATAATACCTGGCCTGCATTAGCATATTTACCATAAATATTTGAAATAGCAGGTATGGGCAGAGTCATTAGTTGTAACTTATCATGGTAAGTTACCATAGTAAATTACAGTAAACTACTGATAAGTTCTCATGGTAAGTTATCAAGTGCTTATCTTCACCTGTAACTTACAGTAACTTACCAGTAATTTACTAATAAATTATTATAATTTTACAACTCTGGGCATGGGTATTATTTCGAATTTTGGCCCACATTAACAACAGAACAAGAAAATTAAATTTCTGCATGGTTTTTTATTAGATACAAAAAATTATAAAATATGCAGATTTGTGATCCTATCCCACGTGGGATGTGTGTTAGGGATGGTAAATGACTTGAAATGACCAAAATGACTAGTGACCAGTCATTGGGTTATTTCACATTCAAATGACTATAGAAGGTCATTTAACATCAATAAACTGATAGTCTAACGCCTTTTGGCCAATCATATTTGATTATTAGATATACCGGTAAAGTAATTTTTATAAAATATTATCGATAATCGTAGCTACATATAAAAGTCAAAGTTTACTAAGTTAATCAATGTTTTAATTGACCTAAACAACTTTACTGAAGATGTTATCCTAGTAAAATTTGACTTTGTGTATAGCTACGATTATTGATAGTAATCACATCTTTTTATATTGGCTATCTGGCTAATAAAATTACTTCATATATGAATGACCTAAATGACCTAATGACCCAAATGGCAAGGTCATTTACTCAAATGACTTGGTCATTTAAATTTTGAGTAAATGATCTGATCATTCACCATCCCTGATGTGTATCACGTGTATAACCCATGTGTAACTTACAGGATTTTCCAAGAAACCTATCTTTAATTAGATAAATACTATACGTATGTATCTACATACGTATATACTCTATATAATAATAGTAGGTAAGCTCATATTACTATTTTTGTCTTTACTTTTCTTTGGTTGAAATTGTAGCATCTATTGAGAACATGTAATATGTCTAGTAAATATTTCAATAAAAAAGTATAGTAAATTTAATAAATATAATCGGACCTGAGTACCATAGTTAATTAGAGATATATCAGTTAGATCAGTGAAGTTTTTTTAATACATGTAAAATTTATTAGCATTAGTAATACAATTGGACTATAAGGTATATACATATTAGTTAGATCGATAGAGATAGGCATCATACACCTTATTATTGCATGATGCTTAATCATCACATATTATAACTTATGTAAAACACTGATATCTAATGTAATTTTCACAATATTAATTATGTAACTAGTGATTGGCGCCGTAATCATGTGATGCTAATTGTCACGTGGTAAAATATATAATAATCAACAATCTAATTGTTGATTTTTATATATTGTATCATGTGACAATTAGCATCACATGATTACGGCGCCAATCACTATATGTAACAATTAAGCACTATGCAGTGATAAGCCCTTCTCTAAGTTTAGTTTATGTATGCGGAGTTTATTATTACATGTAATAATATTCTTACATGAAATAAATAATATTACATGTAATTATATTACTACATGTAATAATATTATTACATGTAATAAATATTATTACAATTATGGTTTTAAAAAACTCTGTGTAAAAATATATGTAATAAATATAATTGTAATAATTAGCTAATTATGGCGCCATACTTTAGCCTGGGCTACCCGCGGGTAGGTCCATAAGGGCCGGGCTAAGGTATCGAATCTCAGGCCCTAGGGTAAGGGTAAGTATTAAGCCCTTACACAAACGGGTAGGGCTGCTACCCAGTGTTGGAAATCTATTTTGAAATTTATGTTCTCATGAGAACATGACTTTGCTCAACAAAGGTCTGTTGGTCTATATAGGATGGATAGGTTTGGCTAGAAATCTCTGATCTCTGAATAACCTAGAAATTCTAGAAGAATCGACTGTGTTTCCTTTGTTATTAAGGCCACTCCAGGCAGGTTTTTTTGTTTAACATAATATAAAATATTTTATACGTAGAATCAACAAAAAAACTGCAATTTTATTGGCTATAAAAATTTTAAAAAATATAAAAACTAATGCTGCAATTTGATTGGTTAATATATACCATGTTTTATTTATATGTAAAATTTTAAAAATGGTCTAAATAAAAAAAAATGTATGCACTATTACCATTTTATCTCTATGACAGGCGAGGTCAGAACGTTTATATTGAACATAGGGTGAAATCGAAATTAAAAAGAAGAGCATTTGTTTGTTATCAAGGTAGAATCTAATGGGACGTTTCAAGTTGGTATTACTATTGAAATGGGTTAGTATTAAAAAATGAATGGTATATTATTCATCTCGTTTTATATCTTTCTTGTATCAATCCGATCTTATCTTTTAAATTATTCATTTTTATAAATTTGTATTTAAATAAAAAATTGATTCACAAAAAAAATAAAATTAATTCTCTTTTGATTATACATATTCACTTATATTTATTCTTGTTGTACAATCAATGTTTGGTAGATAATTTTATGAAACTAAGTATGATAACAAAGCAATGTCAAAAAAACCTGGAATTTTGCAATCTTTTTTTCTACAATTACTCCGATCTGTTATAATTTAAAATCCATAACTAATCGAAATGATTGAGCAATATCTCGATCACATTCCTCTTTTTTTTTCATTGCGATGATGAACTCACTTGACTGGTCAATTGATAGACTGGAAAAAAAATGGTAGAGTTGCTCATTTCGATGAATAAATCAGCGAGATACAAACTATCTTTTTTCAATTGATAAAGGGTGCTCAAGCATTACTTTATATTCTTTAGATATTAAACATAATTAACAATGAATTTTCAACAAATTTCTACCGATCTAAAAAAAATAGCTATTCTTAAAAGGTTTAATTTACGGGGGCATGAATAACAAAATCAGGAGTATAAAATAATTTTCTTTACATATTACTATACTATATATTTATGTAACAAAAGCTTTAAATTTATTGATATGAATAACAACAAAATATACAATTATGTTTTTTAAGTACAGATAAATTAAGATGAATAAGAGATTCACATTAGTATACACCTTATATTCTTAAAATTAAAAACTAAACAAAACAAAAAAAATTGCGTCATGTCTTTAAAATTTTTAACTCACTCAATCAATCAAATAATATTTAGATTATTCGGAAGGTGGTTGATCTGCGCTTCCCTTATTTTCAAGCTCGGGTACAATACTTTTACCACCATAAGTAACCGGTAAATTATCTTCATCAATAACCTCCAACATACTATCTTTAACACCGTTAGCAGATGTGACAACAAATTTTGCTTTTGTTTGCTCAGACAAAAATATTGAAATAAATTTAAACACCCAGTCACCCCACCAAGGAACGTTAACAAAAAATTTCACCGCCTATTTTGAAAATATAAATCAAAATAAAAGTTAATTACTGAATATTAAAAAAAAATACCATAATGAATTACAGTACAGAAATACGAACCAAAAATTCAGGATAATTATCCTGCATAATTTGGGTAACAGTTTTACTGGCAGTCTTAGCAGTTGTATCATACGAGGCAAAAGTGATCAAATTATAATCATGAACTTGAATCATTTGATCAATAGTTTTAAAATCCAATAATTGAATTCCTTTTTCCATCAATTGAATTCTCCATCTTAAAAATCTATCCAAATTTCCAAATACTTCTTCATTATTAAGGCCACCATATAAATTGTAAGTGACGGGCCTATTTTTTTTGTCATGCTTATGAATGAATCCAACTTTACAAAATACGTCAGAAGGGAAGGATTCGGTAAGTATGGTATCTGCTCGGAATTCAAGACGCCATTTCAAGGATTTTGTTAACATTTCTTTTGCTTGCGAAACATCACAATTTCTTTTAAAGATAAAAGGATAAAATTAGTGAAATTGATGGATTATATACAAGGAATATTTTATAGATTCTTTTTTTTTTAAGCTCAGTTATAAATTATGTGTATATGCATATCAAAAAATAATAATAATGAATTTCATGCATTTTACTTAATATATATTTTGCAGACAGTATATATTAATAACATAATATTGACATAATATTTATATTTATTTTTGAGAGATTAAGCTTAAAAAAAAAAAAAAAAATTGTATTTTTGTCTATATACTTGGCCCGTAAAAATTTCACAAGAATAATGTCAAGTCGTTCATCTGTTGAATTTTTATCTAAGAGAACGCCCCAAAGAGCGTAGTTTTCAGGAACACCAGAATCTTTTATAATATCGGGAAGACAATCTTTAAGTTTGCTAATTGATGTTTTTTCATTTTCGGTGAATGTAGAAGTGATCGTTGTCATTTTGTATTTTTTTGTTACGTTGATGCAATTATATATGCTAAAAAAAAAAAAAGGCTAAGGGGATCGTGGAATTATCGATTAGTAAATTTATTACTAATTTAGATACACGAAGATCGAATTACAAGATTTTTGACCAATAAAATTACCAAATCTAGAGCTAACTCTGATTTTGTGCCAAGCCCCTATATGTAACATTTACTTCGCATCAACTTTAATGTTAACGATTCTTATTATAATATCTGATAGCTGTTGATATAAACAGATGCTTTGAGCGAAATGAATATGAGTGACAGAAACGTAAAACCTGTAAATTGATTAACCAACGTTCACCTTGTCTTAAAATTGATCCTCCCGTAATGGTTATATGTGATCAAATACGTATACAGCTGATCGTTCTAGTCATTTCGATAACACTATAACATGGTCATCAAATGGTATTACAGTTGTTTCTTATAGATTCAGAACGACTGATAAAAATTTAACTGATAATCATTCTAATTCATTATAATGCATATCTGTCGGTTCGAGTAATAACTAATATTTAGACTTTAGCAAGTTTTTCTGTGGTTGAATTCTCGAGCAATTTCATGTATTGAAAATCTTCTATCATTTTTTAGAAAGACATGTTTGTTATTGAAGTCTAACTTAATTTTTTTAAAGTTTATCATAAATTTTTTGCACAAACTTAATAAATTAAGCATAAAGTATCATACAAGCATCTGTCTTAATATATAGTGAATTTATAAATGTTAATGAAAAATAATGGACTATGAAAGAATTTACGTGTACAATGATGGCTTTGATGCTTTTAAAGAAAGAGATAAGTGATACTAGGTAAGTTTATAGACTTGCACAATATGTAAAGGCTTGATTAGATATATATATCTGTTAAAGTTATTTTTGTTTTACAGTATTACAAGTGAATTTGTTTATTACTAAATACAGTAAAGGTCTTCCTTAGAGCTAAAGTAAGAAAATCTACAACGTCCATCTTTTATAATTACTTGTATAAAAAAGCCAATCATGTAAAATTAGAGGTCGAGCCTGATAAGACAAAATAATTTACGAGTCCTTGAACGAAATCTAGTCATTTTCTATATAACGTTTTGAACGCAACTGCATAAACATTTAATAGGTAAAAGTTTCTTTCAAATTTATGTATTTTGAAATTGTGCTAAATAATTATACTAAAATCTACTTTTATCGTAATGAAAAAAAAAAAAAAATCAAGTTATTAAACATTTGTATTAACTTTATCTTAATTTTTTTATCACATCAACCAAGATATTAAAATTACAATATGTTTTTTATTTACCAAATAAATACACATAGTAGAAAATAATTACAATCTTAAGTCGTAAAAAATAACTTTAATAGTTTTTACATACAGTAATTACTTCTTTGAAGATGAATTTTCAGATTGCTCTTTTTTTAATTTCTTGACAACATTCACAATTTCTTTCAACATACCCCAAACTCTTTTATCCCCGATTGTACTCATCCTAAGGGCATTCATAGCATAACCAATTGAGATTCCTAGTTCACGATTCCATATGAACATGCTTCCGCCAAATCCTCCCCATCCTAAGAATTCTACATCTTCAATACCAGGAAGTTTAAGATATGCAAATCCACCGATTGCAGGTGTAAAATTTAGTCCAATAATATGATCCAAAGCTACTGGTAATTTAGTAGAAATGAGATCAACTGTATTTTTTGAAAGAAGAGGTTTATTAGAACTGCCATCATTATTGAGAGGTTGTCCATTATTTGTAATAATGGCTCCCAGTTTGGCCATTGATTTTGCGTTGCTAAATCCAGTAACACTTGGACATTCAAAGGTGATCGCTTCTAACTTTGTAACTTCTTTAAGTTCAAGAATATGAGGAAGACCAGGAATTGTATTATTAAAAGCTTTCATCATCAAATCTTTTTGTTTTATAGATTTTTTATTTATAATAAAAGATTCCGATCTCTTCTTATACAACCAATCTAATAAAATAAGACGCATACGGCTAATATTTTCAGTAATAGGTGCATAATATAACGTTGAAACTCTTGGCACGAGATTTGATGGCAATGAAAAATAAAATTCTAAATCATATTGCTTCATAATTTCTTCAGAGATAATTTGTCCCATAGTACGACGTTTTGGATCTACTCTACGAACAATTTCATTTAAATACCATCCACGAGTTGCCGCATGATATGCGCGAGCAGTAACTCCATCAAATATATGTGGTTGAGCTGCGAGAATTTTTGCTAACTTATCAAGATCTTCTAAATCGGATTTTGTCAATTGTGTTTCAAGATAGGTTACTCCAGCTCGATGATTTACTAGATCCAGAAGCGTAACATTCTCTTTATTACCTTGAGCAAATTCTGGCCAATATTTGGATATTTTTTCGTTATAATTAAGAAGTCCTCGATCTACTAGGTATGCTATCACGATTGAAGACTACAAATAATAATAATAATAATAATAAATATATATAAATAATCAAAAGTAAGAAGAATTTAAATTATACTTAAATAGGAAACTATATATATATACCATAACTTTACTGGAAGAATAAACAATTTGCAAAGTATCCTTATCATATTCACGCTTTGTCTCAAGATCAGCATATCCACCATATAACTCCACCACTAGCTTACCATTATAATATGCTACAAGACTTGATCCAACTTCTTCACCACTTTCAAAAATTTTTACGAATGCTTTTTTTACATCAATAAATTCTGGTGATACATCTCCTTGCACTGTCATATTAAGACATCCTATTCTTAATAATCGACATGATAATGGCGCAAAAGGTCCAAAAGTAAAAACTCTATAAATCATTACAGATATAACGAGAACAAATACACTGATCGGAAAAAATTTTGTTCTTGCATTATTGGAAGGATATGAATTGGATTCTTTTTTACTAGACGTGGATTTTTCGTTTTCCATCTTTTACATTATTTTTTTTGGAAAAAATGAGTCATTTTATATCTGAATCAGGGTCAATGAAAAATTGCTTGCTGTGCAACAACCCAGATTATCTTCATTTACTAAATGCACTGTTAGGGTGTTTTACACCTATACATGCATATCTCAAAAACTAGCTAATTAATTGGTGCGTGTTCTGAGTATATCTCCCTACATACGTATTACTTTCCATATATGTTTAAATATAGATACTATTTAGCGTTAGAGCACTCGGAATTCTAAAATTTAGAGATGCAATCCAGATATCCGTTAGTTTAATTTTATAACAAATTATAAATTATTATAATCCGGATATCGGAATATCCGATTTTTTTTAAGACAATTTAGGTTCCGATGTCCTTGTGAACCTGACATACGTAGCATTATTGGTCTGGAGCTATCACAAAATCATCATGTGTCACAAGGTTACATTTTTGATTTATTTCTATTTTGAATTAATTTTGTGCATCAAAATCGGAACTTTAATGAATCAAAAACGTAACTTTGTATCACCTTACTCATCCATTAAGTGCCCTCCAGACAATCATAAAAAAATTAATTCCTGGGCCAACTAAATTAGTGATATTTCACCGTATAAGCGCGAAATAACACTCACCTCTCGCGTTATTTAATTAATCTGCGCGTTAATTCGAGTAGTAAAATTGTATATAATGTACATATATATATTTGCATAACATAACAGATAACCTAATCTATAAAAGAAATTAACGCTGTCATTATGAAATTTGTTATTAGAGGTGCAGACATTTAGAATTTTGGAAGTAGTTGCCCCAGCAAAAATATCACACCAATACGGCATATTTGCTGTATAACTGATAAGTAGAAGTGCCGCATACCGTATAAATGTCATATGCGTATAAATGTATGCCGTATGAATACCGTACGCCGTCATTCACTTTAATTTAGTGGGTGAGTATAAAGATGATATATTAATCAGTGGATTAAAAAAGTGATTCATGTTTACAAACATTTATACCCTTTAGATTACCATTCTATTCGGTCAGTGAGTATTACAATAAATTTTTAATGATATAAAAAATATTTATAATTATTAAAATGGTAATCTAAATACGGCAAAAGTATACATTGTAATAAAGACAACACGTTTAAGGCATGTGTTTGACATATGATCTCGACAAGCAAAAATGAGAATATTAATGATTGCATCAGAGAATTTCAGCTTAGAACCATGGGAATGAAATTGAACAGATTTCATTCAATAAATTACCGTATAAACGCGAAAATAACGCTCGTGGGTGTTATTTTGAAAATCGGATCCTTCAAAAAATATGTTCTCGCGCATCCAAATGTAGCACATAATTTATTGCTGCGATGATATACAGTCGACACTTCATATGTACACTCTCTATAAGTGCACTTCACATTCCCTATAATACATAATTTGATCAGTCCAATGTGATTATTTAATATTATCGTTATATGTAGATTATGCTCCATAAATGAACATTCTATAAATGCACTTTTATCCAAAAAACGTGCAATTATGGAACTGCATTAGATTTAGAAAATCTACTCTTATTTCGAAATAACGCACATGGGTGTACGTGTAGGTCAATTAATTAGCGCAAGAGGGCGTTATTTCGCGCTTATACGGTATTTGTATTATAGAAAGGCTCGCAATATATCAACTTAATGTTAACAATATTAGTATATAAATGCTTTACATAAGTAGTTTCTGTATAATGAATAAAAAGAAAATTCGATAAAAGGTAAAAAAAAAGCATGTAGCTATGAACAAACTTGAAAATGCAAATCAAGAATCGCGAGTACATAAAAAGAATGACCGGTAAAAAATTGCATAATTATCTCAAATGGTTAAGCAAATAAAAAAATGTTTTAGTTTATACGTATTTCTGAATTTGTAAAAAATTTAACATGTTTTTTCGAAACTTAAATACTGTATATATTTACTTATTAAAAGTTAATATTATCTGTTATTATACAGTCGGCAATTTGAATGAAATTCAGAGATTAAGATCTTGCATTTTTCACTCTCTTGACTCGAAATGAATTACGATCTTTGGTTTTGATCATTGATTATCAATTTATCAGCTGCTTTAAAATTACGTTTTTCTAATATGTGTTTCAAATGTATCATGTGGGAGTATGATGCTAATTCGATACTAAAAATCACGAAAATGTTAACAGATTCATAACTTCCCAATAAAAAATATTTATATAGAAAATATACAGAAAATATATTGACTACTGTATATAGAAAATATATAGAATTTATACCAAAATATTACAAAAACTCAACAAAAACCTAACGTTTTAGATCGATTTAAACCGTTGAGTTTTCGTTGAGTTTTTACAACATTTTGGTATATTTTCAGTATATTCAATATAGTTTTTGTATATTTTCTATATAAAAATTTTTTTATAGGACTTGGGATACTTGTAAACGATGTCAAGGCCTAATAACGGGTTTAGTTTGGTATCATACTGTCGTGAAATAACGGCATGGGCATTATTTAGAAAATTGTACCTTCTAATAATATCATAAATGAATGCCCATACGCGTCCCGAAATAACACGTACTCATATACATCAGTCCGAGTATGTTGGATTTCTTGTGAATTCGCTGGGAAACACTCAAAATATTAAAGCGCTAAGATTGAACGTGATTCTCATGCCCTACGAGTACCATTATTAAGATGAACACTACTTCTTCCATGCTAGTTTCTTTGCCAGAGGCAGGCATTATTTTCGAATTGCTTATTTTAATTATTTATATAATTATAATTATTTTGAATAATTTTAAAATATTATTTAAATATATTAATATTATCCCTAGGAGCGTGTCACTAGATGTTAATCGGACTACCATACTATTATTTTTACACGTGTTCCATATTTATATTTATTTACATCATTTTTACTGTTTTACTTTTTTTATCGCCTTTGCTCTTTATCGTGTCTTTTTTTAGCTTCATTTTACTGTGCTTATTTACTTTGACTTTTAAAGTTCTTTATATGAAACGTGAAACATACAAAAAAGAAAATTCTTCAAATAAAACTAAGCGTAAAAAATTAGAGTTTCCCGATGATCAATGAATCTTTCATGGGAAGATTCCCGGTCACAATATGATCATTATAAATTTGGTTAATCACGTATAAAAAATAATAATGAAGTGTGCGACAGGGCAGTGTTGTCAATAGACATGGACATTAGCGATGCAAACCAAACTATTTGGGACGTCCCAAACTGCGTGATGAATAGTATCAAACAGTTTTAGCAATAGTAATAACACGGTAAATACCTAATGTGATACTAGTCGTCACATAATTTGGGACGTCCCAAATAGTTTGGTTTACATCCCTAATGGACATGGACGTCCATGTCCATGGACATTGTTTATAGACTGTCCATGGACTGTCCATGTCCAAATTTGCTTGGACATATGTCCATGTACAACACTGAATATACTATATAGCTTCCATGAAACAGTCAAGAAGAATGCACGAAGGTCCTCTCTGGATGACATATGGGTAGAATCTGCAAATTTTATTATATGTTATACAGGGTATGGATACTTATTTTGAGCTTTTTCGTTTGGTGTACGTATCAACGCCAAACTTAATTCGGGATTATTATATCCCGAATTAGTGTTGATTAATAAACTGGCTAACAAACTTGTATTATTATATTCATTTATTCAGAATTCTGCAATTGCAAATCCTGAGATGCGTTTGTTGCAATTATATAATGCATTCCTATTGGTCTACCTTTTATTGACTAGATTCGAGGCATAGCCTATTGTTAGTCAGAATTCTTGTGTAGAGCTGTCAGATAATGCCAATAGTACTGGCCGGATTAGCTACACAAATCCACACAATTATGTGCGAAAAATAATGAATGAAACTTGCAGAATTCTGAATCCTAATTTTAATACATCCGATATATATATTTAAATACTGTCTTAGAACCCAGGCCTCCAATTTGGGTTTAACTAAACCTTTTTGAACTAACCTCAGGTTCAAAGTAATCCGATTCGAACCCAGCTTAATCTCAGTTTGGGTTTTCTTGACCCTAGCTTGGTTTTCTTAATCCCGGCTTGGGTTCTCTTAATCCTAGTTTGAGTTCACTTGAACCCAACTTGAGTTTATTTGAACCCGGTTTAAATTTGAAATAGGAGAAAACCTAGTTTTTTTTATTATTATTATTTTTTTTATGTATTATATTTGTTATTTATTTAGGGTTCGAAGCATGGGTAAAAAATTAGGCATGCCTTTCGAGGACATGCCCTATGTCACGGCATTCCCTCGTGCCTATAGGCATATAAAAATTCTATAAAAATAAAAGGTGGTTAAAATTAGTAAAATTCTTTCACTTTTTGCATTAGGCTAGACTATTTTTTAAGCTTTCTAATAAGTTGTTTGGCTGCTAGCTTTTTTTTTTTACTTTTATTTCTTTGTTTTTCTTTGGCTATTTTTTTCTTGGAGTATCTAGAAACTCAAGATTTTTGTAGATTGGATTCTTGAAGCAATTTTGGATTTTCTTTTCTTAGTCTAACCCAATATATATTTTTTTAACTCTTCTTTTTCCAACCTTTAGGGTTTTTAGTTTTGGTTGTTATGGTTTAACTTTCAACTAGAAGCTAGGATTTTTGTAATTTTTTTTTAACAGTTTATTTTAGATCTTGTGTTTTAGTTATTTATTTATTCCTAATACTTTTGTTTTTTTTGACTATTTGTTCTTGTCATTAGACATTATACTAAAGACCATATTCTTGCTACTAAATTGACTTTACTTAATTTAAGTTTATTATTACTAAGATCTAAAGAAATCAAAATAGTATTCTTTTCAAACACAATATCAAATTTATTTCTATCTTTGACCCAATATTATTATTATGAATATTCAAAGAAATCAGTATAGTATTTTTATAAAGTGTATTAGCTAATACTTTTCTATTAACTAATTCAATTTTATTCGAACTAAGTTTTAGTAAGATTAATATAGTGTTTATGCAAAGTGTATTTGGTGAATTCTACTTCACCTCTTGGTTCAATTTTATTTAAATAAAGTTTTAGAGAAATCAATATAATATTCTTGCCAAGTGCATCTGCTAGCACTTTTCTTTTTTCTAGTCCAAGATTATTATAACTAAGTTTTAAATAAGTCAATATCTTGTTTTTGTAAATAAAATTATTATAACAAAGATCTAATAAAGTTAATATTGTGATTGGTGGAAGAGTGTTTGACAAGTAAAAATTTCAAAACCTTCAAATGCAGAAAGTCCAAATATTCTGATAATTGCCAAAATCTAAATAAGAAATCACATAATTTACATCCATATCCTATCACATTGCATAATTCTGAACACTCTACACTGTTCATATTTAGTAAAATCTTTAACTGAAATAGTTTTTAATAGATAATTGTAATTGTTACATGAAAAATTCATATATTCGATTTTTATATATGAAATTGACAGGGCATAGAATCGATTTTTTGGTCACATGACTTATCGAAAACATTTATGTTAGTGTTACTAGGGATGCAAGCTATACCTATACCATATTATACTATTGATATAATACCCGTATAATACCAGTATTATACTCATAAGTATAGGTATAATACCAATAATAGAAATGGGTTAGCCAATCAAATTGGTTTATCTGCAATTCCAAAAGTTTCTCTAAAAATAATTCTGAAAAATTCCGAATCATTTTAAGCTGAGAATAAAATGGCGGTTATACCATGCTTACTGTATTATACGGTATTATTCTTGGGTATTATACTACCATTTCTATTATACTGGTATAACCGCATCCCTAAATGTTACACCTGATCCTGATTTTTAATTGGCTACTGATGTTGGAAAATTCTATAATCCTATGCCCTCGCATTGTTGACTATACATAAATTTGTTCCACTGGATACCCAATGTAATGTGAATTTGTTAGTACAAAATGAAAATGCTCACAAGGTTTTCTTGCCTTGTATTACATTCTCTCAAACCAAGAGCCTTTTTCCAATATTCACAGAAAAGAGCAAAACAAGTTAAGCTTGCGTGCAAGCTCCCTACGCATGCTTCCTCATTTAATTATCATCATTTAGATTCATTAAAGGTGAGCATCAAACCAGCTCTAGCCGAGGACTTTGTAATACCTAAAGATGCTGAAGGTACGAACTACTTTACAATTCTCTTAACGAACTTAATACTTACAATTTAAATAGTCTTAGATACCGACTTGGAACAGTATATTGCTCCTCACATTAACTTTAAATGCATTTCGGATTCTGGAGTTCGGACGTTCATTACCAAATTACATGAAGTTGTGAGAAATAGTTCTAAAAAGTTTTACAAAGGAGAAACTCTTACCGAATCACTTTTAGATGACCTACTTTATATCGTTAAGTTAAATGATTTCCCCTTAATGATTAGGTGAGTAATCGTTAGTAATCCTTTTGTGGTTGTACTTTAATTGACTCTTAAATCGTTCTAAAGTTTGTATTCTTAAAATTCAGAAATAAACAGATATGAGAATTATATGTCGGGGATCATTGTGTGATAGCAAAACCTGAATTCTTAATTAAGTCACAAGACAATGTTTTGGTTGTAGTAGAAGTCAGTATGTCATAGTTTGTCTGAGATAAGTTTTTCTTTTGTCACTCAAACAACTTTCTTAATAGGACAACCACCTGGATATTTTTAAACCAGGCAATGAATACGGAGAACCACAACTCGCTATAGAAATTTTATCAAGCGGAGATGAAAATTCATGTCCTTATTATGATAAAAAACTGGGTTATTATAAAGATCAGACCGTATTCGTCATTCGTGTTATTTCAACACATGTCACATTTTATAAAGCTATGATCCCTGCTAGATATTGGAATGAGCTTGAAAATGGCTATCCAGAAAAACAGTCAATTGAAATTCTAAAGTGGCCAGCTATAAATCTTGAGGATTCTAGTTTTGATCTTGCTGTGCCAAATGGAAGGAAAAAAGTTTTATCCTCATTAATCAACATCCATCTATCTCTTTTGCAATCAATAAGAAATAACTAGTTATACTTTCATAGTAAGATCATCTCATGGTGGTTTTAGATATGACATTGTGATATCACAATCTTAGCAGCAATTTTTAGCCATTATGAAGTTTTCTGTATCTGTACTTCACATATATAAATATCAATAAAGTTTGGGCCATAGGTCAGGCATTATTTTTATATATCTTTGGATAGGAAGTATGTATAATGAATTGGAAAAATAATAAAATTTTGATTGTTGCTAACCATTGTGTCAATTCTTCTGCACAATTTTGACGAGCCTGGACAAGCTTGTCTAGACTCTCTCATCAAAAAAATAAGCTAGTCAAATACACAGCACCTTCAGAGATAAATTTAACTTCTTCTCATATTTCATTCGAAAAAAGAAAAGCTATGGGTATATTTCTTGCATATATGCGTTATATCAAAACAAGGGTTAAATTCGCACTCTTTATTATTTTGAATAAAAATTAAAAAAGTGCTACGGAACTGGGTTTGGTATTAAGTAAATATATTTTTTGGCATTAACAAATGTTGTTCTTTAGGTCTAACAGTAGTGAAATTATTAAAATGATCTAGTTCACTGCAATGGCTCTATAAAGTTTTTGTTTATTTGTCTTTATTTACATGATCTTTGCAAAATTTTGAAGACAATTTTACTACCATTAGAATTGATTATATTAAAGTCAAAAAATAGGGTTACCTATACCAACCCAATTTCGAAACCCTTTTTTACTAATTTTAATTTATTTATATGGATGCGCGTTAATTCGGGCACTAATTTGAAGCCCTACAAATACTATTTTAGGGGTATCTAATTTTCAAATTAACACCCCTGAGCGTTATTTCGCGCTTGTATGGTATGAGTTTCTGGCACGCTCTCTTGACAAGACTTTTAGGAAGTTTATCAATAACGTATTTATAGTCGGAATGGAACATTTAATTGGATATAGTTTTACGCAAAAAACGGTCATGCGCGTACTCTAAATAACGCGTAAGAGGGCATTATTTCACGCTTATATGGTATTTGTATTATAGAAAGGTTCGCAATAAATCAACTTAATGTTAACAATATTAGTATATAAATACTTTATATAAGTAGTTTCTGTATAATGAATAAAAAGAAAATTCGATAAAAGGTAAAAAAAAGCATATAACTATGAACAAACTTGAAAATGCAAATCAAGAATCACGAGTACATAAAAAAGAACACGACCGTTAAAAAATTGCATAATTATCTCAAATGGTTAAGCAAATAAAAAAATATGTTTTAGTTATACGTATTTTTGAATTTGTAAAACATTTAACATGTTTTTTCGAAACTTAAATACTGTATATATTTACTTATTAAAAGTTAATATTATCTGTTATTATATAGTCGACAATTTGAATGAAATTCAGAGATTAAGATCTTGCATTTTTTACTCTCTTGACTCGAAATGAATTACGATGTACTTTCAGTTACGATCTTTGGTTTTGATTATTGATTATCAATTTATCAGCTGCTTTAAAATTATGTTTTTATAATTCTTTATCATTTGTTCTTAATTGTGTGTTTTAAATGTATCATGTGGAAGTATGATGCTAATTCAATACTAAAAATCACGAAAATGTTAAAATCCAGGAAACAGATTTATAACTTCCCAATAAAAAATATTCATATAAAAAATATACAGAAAATATATTAACTATATAGAAAATATATAGAATTTATACCAAAATATTACAAAAACTCAACAAAAACCTAACGTTTTAGATCGATTTAAACCATTGAGTTTTCGTTGAGTTTTTACAACATTTTGGTATAAATTCTATAATTTTTGTATATTTTCTATATAGAAATTTTTTTATAGGGCTTGGGATACTTGTAAACGATCGATATCAAGGCCTAATAACATAGGATCTTAAGTTTAGTTTGCAAAATAACGGTATGGGCATTATTTAGGAAACTGTATCTTCTAAAAATATCATAAATGAATGCCTATACGCGTCCTGAAATAACGCGTACTCATATACATCAGTCTGAGTATGTTGGATTTCTTGTGAATTTGCTGGAAAACACTCAAAATATTAAAGCACTAAGATTGAACATGAATCTCATACCCTATGAGTACCATTATTAAGATGAACATTACTTCTTCCGTGCTAGTTTCTTTATCAGAGGCAGGCATTATTTTCAAATTGCTTTTCTTTTATTTTTAGTTATTTATATAATTATAATTATTTTGAATAATTTTAAAATATTTTTTAAATATAGCAGAGGTTACCAACAATCATAGCACATAGATGCGATAATTTTCTGCGTTTAAGACTAAATTCTGCGGTGGTTAAGACTAAATTCTGCGTGTAGTTAAGACAAATTCTGTGATTTAATGTAATAAAATTTTTACCTAATTCTGTAGTAACATTTATAATTTCTTTGCAATTCTGTGGTATCATATTGTAATTTCTGTGATCTAATGTGATTATAAATTTTTTTAAACAAACTAATTCAGGCGAACACGCTCGTAATTTACAGTCTACCTTTATGGTGTTTCCTGACACTGGCTTGAATTTATGGTCAGATCCTGTGATATATTTTGAATTCTGTGATATTCTGCGTATTTTTTGGAATTCTGTGATATTCTGTGACTAAGGGTGATTTATATAGTCAGCTGTGATTAAGAGAAATTCTGCTGTTTTCTGTAAATCACAGAAATCATTGGCCCTGGGATGGCCTGAAGGGCCATCCACGTATTATGATCATCGGTAACCTTTGCTATAATTCCCCCCAGGAAATAAATAAATAATCCCCAGAAGTGTGTCACTAAATATTAATCAGACTACTATACTATTATTTTTATATGTGTTCTATATTTATATTTGTATTGTGCTTTACTAATTTTTGGGCTTCTCTTTATTTTTTTTATTTACATCATTTTTACTGTTTTACTTTTTTTATCGCCTTTGCTCTTATCATGTCTTTTTTTAGCTTCATTTTACTGTGCTTATTTACTTTGACTTTTAAAGTTCTTTATATGAAACATGAAACATATGAAAAGAAAATTCTTCAAATAAAACTAAGCGTAAAAAATTAGAGTTTTCCGATGATCAATGAATCTTTCATAGGAAGATTCCCAGTCACAATATGATCATTATAAATTTGGTTAATCATGTGTAAAAAATAATAATGAAGAGTGCAACAGGGCAGTGTTGTTAATAGACATGGACATGGACGTCCATGTCCATGGACATTGTTTATAGACTGTCCATAGACTGTTCATGTTCAAATTTGCTTGGACATATGTCCATGTACAACACTGAATATACTATATAGCTTCCATGAAACAGTCAAGGAGAATGCACGAAGATTCTCTATAGATGACATATGGGTAGAATCTGCGAATTTTATTATATATTATAAAAATTGGCTTGACCCAAGTCAGTTAACAGTTAAATAGACAGATAGATTGCAATAACCAGTTTTTTCTGATGTAGAAAATGAATGAACTCTAATTACAAGCAAGGTCGAAAGTATTTTTTGACACAAAACCCGAGATTTTGCGATTTAAAATGGTTATATTTTAAATATATTTTCAAGCTTAACCTATGTGACTATTAACAAGGGTCAATCCGGGTTACAGCTCTAGGGATTATTATATCCCGAATTAGTGTTGATTAATAAACTGGCTAACAAGCTTGTTTTATTATATTCATTTACTCAGAATTCTGCAATTGAGATGCGTCTGTCACAGTTATATAATGCATTCCTATTGGTCTGCCTTTTATTGATGACTAGATTCGAGATATAGCCTATTGTTAGTCAAAATTCTTGTATAGAGTTGTCAGGTAATGTTAATAGTACTGACCGGATCAGCTACACAAATCCACACAATTATGTGCGAAAAATAATGAATGAAACTTGCAGAATTCTAAATCCTAATTTTAATATATCCGATATATATATTTAAATACTATGTCTTAAAACCCAGGCCTCCAATTTGGGTTTAACTAAATCTTCTTGAACTAACCTCAGATTCAAAGTAATCCGATTCGAACCCAGCTTGGGTTTACTTAATCTCAGTTTGGATTTTCTTGACCCTAGCTTGGTTTTTTTAATCCCAGCTTGGGTTTTCTTAATCCTAGTTTGAGTTTACTTAAACCCAACTTAAGTTTATTTGAACCCGGTTTAAGTTTGAAATGGTAGTTTTTTTTATTATTTTTTTATTATGTATTATATTTGTTATTTATTTAGGGTTCAAGGCATGGGTAAAAAATTAGGCATGCTTTCGAAGACATGCCCTTGTCACAGCATGCCCTCATGCCTATAGGCATATAAAAATTCTATAAAAATAAAAGGTGGTTAAATTTATTATTTTAACCAGGGGTTAAAATTAGTTAAATTCTTTCACTTTTTGCATTAGACTAGACTATTTTTTTAAGCTTTCTAATAAGTTGTTGCTAGCTTTTTTTTTACTTTTATTTCTTTGTTTTTCTTTGGCCTATTATTAACTATTTTTTCTTAGAGTATCTAGAAACTCAAGATTTTTGTAGATTGGATTCTTAAAGCAATTTTAGATTTTTTTTTCTTAGTCTAAACCCAATATATATTTTTAACTCTTCTTTTTCCAGCCTTTAGGGTTTTTAATTTTGGTTGTTATAGTTTAACTTTCAACTAGAAGCTGAGATTTTTGTAATTAATAAGATTTTTTTTTTTTTTTAACAGTTTATTTTAGATCTTGTGTTTTAGTTATTTATTATTTCTAATACTTTTGTTTTTTTTTGACTGTTTGTTCTTGTCATTAGACATTATACTAAAGACCATATTCTTGCTACTAAATTGACTTTACTTGATTTAAGTTTATTATTGCTAAGATCTAAAGAATCAAAATAGTATTCTTTTCAAACACAATACCAAATTTATTTCTACCTTTTGACCCAATATTATTATTATAAATATTCAAAGAAAATCAGTATAGTATTTTTATAAAGTGTATTAGCTAATACTTTTCTATTAACTAATTCAATTTTATTTGAACTAAGTTTTAATAAGATTAATATAATGTTTATGCAAAGTATATTTGTGAATCTACTTCACCTCTTGGTTCAATTTTATTTAAATAAGGTTTTAGAGAAATCAATATAATATTCTTGCCAAGTGTATCTGCTAGCACTTTTCTTTCTTCTAGTCCAAGATTATTATAACTAAGTTTTAGATAAGTCAATGTCTTGTTTTTGTAAATAAAATTATTATAACAAAGATCTAATAAAGTTAATATTGTGATTGGTGAAAGAGTGTTTGACAAGTAAAAATTTCAAAAACTTCTAATGCAAAAAGTCCATAATTGCCAAAATCTAAATAAGAAATCACATAATTTACATCCATATTCTATCACATTGCATAATTCTAAACACTCTACACTGTTCATATTTAGTAAAATCTTTGACTGAAATGGTTTTTAATAGATAATTGTAATTGTTACATGAAAATTTCATATACCGTATCCTGCTGTGAATAAGCACCCACCTTTTGCAATTTTCATACCAAGTTTCTCATGATCTAGTAATCGTATTTGTGTAATTTTGGTGTCATTTGAATCGTTTTGATAAGTTGATTCGAATAATACCAAAATTATACAGATCCGATCGCTAGATCACGAGAAACTTGGATATGAAAATTGCAAAAAGTGGGTGCTTATTCATGGCAGGATTTAGTATTCGATTTTTATATATGAAATTGACAGAGCATAGAATCAATTTTCTGGTTATGTGACTTACCGAAAATATTTATGTTAGGGTTTATGTTAGGGTTGGAATTAGAGAGAGTTTTAATATTTTTTGCAAAGCAAACATTTGTTTTGATTTTCTTTACATTACACCTGATCCTGATTTTTAATTGGCTACTGATGTTGGAAAATCCCATAATCCTATACCCTGCGTTGTTGAGTATATATAATTTGTTCTACAATGTAATGTGAATTTGTTAGTACAAAATAAAAATGCTCGCAAGGTTTCTTACCTTGCATTACATTCTCTCCAACCAAGAGCCTTTTTCCAATATTCACAGAAAAGAGCAAAACAAGTTAAGCTTGCGTGCAAGCTCCCTACGCATACTTCCTCATTTAATTATCATCATTTAGATTCATTAAAGGTGAGCATCAAACCAGCTCTAGCCGAGAACTTTGTAATACCTAAAGATGCTGAAGGTACGAACTACTTTACAATTCTCTTAATGAACTTAATACTTATAATTTAAATAGTCTTAGACACCGACTTGGAACAGTATGTTGCTTCTCACGTCAATTATGGTGTTCTTGGTACTAAAACTTTCGATATTCTCAACTTTGAATGCATTTCGGATCCTGGAGTTTGGACATTCATTACCAAATTAAATGAAGTTGTGAGAGATAGTTCTAAAAAGTTAGGCAAAAACGAAACTCTTACCTACTCACTTTTAAATGACCTTCTTCGTATCGTTAAGTTAAATACTTTCCCTTTAATTATCAGGTGAGTAATCGTTGGTAATCCTTTTGTGGTTGTACTTTAATTGACTCTTAAATCGTTTTAAAGTTTGTATTCTTAAAATTTAGAAATACACCGATATGCGAATTATTTGTCGGGGATCATTGTGTGATAGCAAAACCTAAATTCTTAATTAAGTCACAAGACAATGTTTTGGTTGCAGTAGAAGTTAGTATGTCGTAGTTTGTCTGAGATAAGTTTTTCTTTTGTCACTCAAACAACTTCCTTAATAGGACAGCCACCTGAATATTGTCAGGCCAGGCAATGGATTCGGGGAACCACAACTCGCTATAGAAATTCTATCAAGCGAAGGTGAAAATTCACGTCCTTATTATGATGAAAAACTGGGTTATTATAAAGATCAGACCGTATTTTCCATTCATGTCATTTCAACACATGTCACATTTTATAAAGCTGTGATCCCTGCTAGATATTGGAACGAGCTTGAAAATGGCTATCCGGAAAACAGTCAATTGAAATTCTAAGGTGGCTAGCTATAAACCTTATGGATTCTAGTTTTGATCTTGCTGAGCCATATGAAAGGAAAAAAGTTTTATCTTCATTAATTAACATTCATCTATCTCTTTTGTGATCAATAAGAAATAACTAGTTATACTTTTATAGTAAGATCATCTCAGGGTGGTTATAGATATGACATTGTGATATCACAATCTTAGTATCAATTCTTAGCCATTATGAAGTTTTCTGTATCTGTACTTCATATATATAAATATCAATAAGGTTTGGGCCATAGGTCAAGCATTTATTTTTATATATCTTTGGATGGGAAGTATGTATAATGAATTGGAAAAATAATAAAATTTTGTTTGTTGCTGACCATTGTATCAATTCTTCTGCACAATTTTAACGAGCCCAGACAAGCTTGTCTAGACTCTACCCATTAGAAAAATAAGCTAGTCATATACACAGCATCTTCGGAGATAAATTTAACCTCAACAAGAGTTGAATTCGCACTTTCTATTATTTTGAATAATAATTAAAAACTGGGTTTAGTATTAATTAAGTAAATGTATTTTTGGCATTAACAAATGTTGTTCTTTAGATCTAATAGTGGTAAAATAATTAAAATGGTCTAATTTACCGCAATAGCACTATAAAGTTTTTGCATCATTTATTTGTCTTTATTTATATGATTTTTTAAGACAATTTTACTACTATTAGAATTGTCTTGACTTGAAGAGCAACTTATATTAAAGTCAAAAAATAGAGTTACCTGTTCCAACCCCAGTTTCAGAACTCTTTTTACTTATTTTAATTTATTTATATAGATGCGCGTTAATTCGGGCCCTGAGCGTTATTTTGTGCTTGTACGGTATAAGTCTCTAGCACGCTCTCTTGACAAAACTTTTAGGAAGTTTATCAATAACATGTTTATAGTCGGAATGGAATATTCAATTGGATATAGTTTTATGCAAAAAAACGTTTGTACGCATACTCTAAATAACGCGCAGGCTAACATGCAGGTGGGCATTATTTCGTGCTTATACGATACACCATTCTAAAGACTGTCCCATCTCTATAAAAAAGAATCTCTTGGAATTGTTCAGAAAATTCTGAAATTATTCATTTTTTTGTTTGGAAAATCGACTCCATTTCGAACATTTAAAGGATGTTTATTGGATGAATGCGTTTTTTATATGTTTTTTATATAATAATTTTCAATCAAATATTTTCTATTTTTTATATCCCATACAAACGTCGTTATGAAAACAGTACAAACATTAACCCTGTTCGGAAAATGAGTATATTTGGGCGACCCCCAAAGTTCTGGTCGATGATCGCCGTCAGATTGATAATTGATGTCAAATCAATAATTGAAATCACTTCTGCAGCTTATCAAGTAAATTAGGGTGGCCCTCCAAAGTCTGGGCCGATAATCGACCCGTACTTTGGGGGGCCGCCCTGATATACTCTTCGGAAAATCGACTCTGTTCCGATCATTTTTTTAGACAATGCCTACAATAACTGTACAAACTTTTTTATAGGCCATTAGAATCTATTTCCGAGAAGTCTGAACGAACTGAATCTTATTTGAGGCACATATTAGGGGTTTATGAGAATTTGTTAAATAAGAAATGTAAAAATATGGCACAAAAAAAATTATTGCACCCATGAAGCTAGCCAGAATGCAATGTATTCCTAGAAATCATAGCAGATCTTATATAATATGAGACCCCCCACAGCAAAAAGAAGGGATGGGCCAAAAAATTTGAAAATTTGTTCTTATGATAATTTTATTCTAATTAATTTGATTCTTTGAGATATTGAATTTTTTTAAAAAAAATTTTTTTGGCTCATCCCCCCCTTTTGCTATGGGGGGTCCCATATAGGTGGACAATATATAAATATTATAAGATTATGGTATATAAAATCTCTAACCCTAACCCTAACCTAACCTTAATTTAAACTATAACCCTCACCCAACTATTTATAAATTTGCTTAGATTAGTTTAAATAGTTATTTTTATATATATTGCTCATCTATACTATAAATCAACCTATAGCAAATAGTTAGATTTGGGATATAAGTATAATATAGTATATATATAGTTTAGATTTAGGCTTAGGCACAATAGTTAGATTCAAGACGTAACATAATAATTAGATTTAGGTATAGATGTGATAGTTAAATTCGGTATTGCATTTAGGACGTAACCTGGTAGTTGGATTCAGCCATAGCACGATAGTTAGATTTGGTTATAACATAGTATATAGTTAGATTCAGGATGTAGTATAATAGTTATATTTGGGATATAATATGATAGATTCAGGTATATATACTATTTTTATAGATAAAAGTATTATTAATGATAACCAACCTAATACTTTTACCGGCAACAATAATCAATCAAAATCTCCTATTGGCATTCAATCAAACTTCTCTAGAAACATTCAATTGAATATCTTCATCTTTAAAAAAGATAAGTAGTCTAAGGTTTCTAATATTAATCAGAGTAACGGTGGAGAAGGTAAACTTACAAATATATTATTAAATTTATATATTCTTGATCTAACTAGTGCGAGTAATACAGAGTGCTTCTATTGGAGAAGAAAATATCCAGCAAAAGACTCCTGTGGCCGATAATCACAATTTGAGTGATGAAGGTTCTGAAAATGAATAAAATAAATAAATAAATAATAGATTTGTCAATATAAAAAGACAGATAGTTTCAAGTATATTATATTAGAATGTATAACTAATTGTGTGTAATTTAAATTACAAATAAAAAATTAAAGCTATTGATTTTATAAAAGTAATTATTTATCGATATTAATAATAGATTTTAATAAGTGCCTAATTGTTCTTCGATAGTTCTTAGCCTTGTTCCTGATAACCTACTACAAGTTATATAATATGAAACAAAAGGGAATATGATAAAGCTATCAAGCATCTGATAAGGCAATATAAAATATGATAACAAAACGATGCGATATAACTGATAAAATTGAAGAGTAATTATATAAGAATATATATAGTAAGCTATTATGTTTAATCAACTAATTAGTCAACTAAACCGATTCCAATCTCTAATCTGATAGCCTTCCAATTAATCTATTAACAATTTTGACTATTTATTTCTGATGTCTGTCTGTAAATAACATGATTTGAGCTATTAATCGGAGAATTATTGGGTACTTGAATCAGAAAGATATCAGAAAATTATTATAGTCTTATTATAAATCTCAATAGGGCTTTATTTAACTAGTGCTTTTGTTAGCCTTTAGGCTTTTTTTTTGTTTTTATTTTTTTGTTTCTTTATTTTTTTTAAAAAAAATTCTCACTTTGTTTTATTTGTTTTTTTCAGATATGTTTTGTTTTGTTTATCAATTGGTAGGTTTGTATTTTAGATATAAGATCATTACTTTTTTTTGCTCTTGGTAAAGAAAGAAGAATTGAAGAAATTAGCTTTAATGAGCTAATAAAGTTTATCTAGCTTGTATACAGATTAGTATGACAAGTTACTCCTAGGCACATTTACCACAGCTAGATGATATCAGGCTTGCAACTAAAAGAGAACAATTAGTTTAGTTCTAGATAGCATTTGTGTTGTTATTAATTAAATAAATAAAGTTCTTAGTATTTAAACATTGGCAAAACTGTCAAAGCTCTAAAAAAAAAAAAAAAATTACTATAAAATATATCTATGATGTTTTAGCACTATATATAATTGTTTTAAATAAAATTTAGAGTTAGAGTTTGGATATTAAGGATTATTTTTTTTATATAATATAATATAAAGCTAATATAAAGTTTTAATTTGAATTTTTATAAGGTTTTTTGAGGTTCTGAACATTTTTACTTAGAATATTCAATCCTGTTTACTTAGTATGTTTTTGAGAAATGGGGGGAGTCAATAGAATTTAGGCAAATTGTTTCTATTTTTAGACTTTAAATTAAAATATCTCAACAACTATTAAACCAAACTTGATAGAAATTTTTTTATTTATTTATTTATTTTTTTTATTCTTTGACAGTCTTGTCGGTGCTCAAATACAAATTATACTACTATTAGACCAAAAACAAAGTTTAAATTCTAATAATAACTAATTAAAAATTGCAAGCCCGACATCACCCGGCTACATCATGTGTGCCCAGATGTGATATGTCGCACCAACCTGTATACAAGTTAGATAAACTTTGTTAGCCTGTCAAAGCTTTTCTTTTCATATTCTCTTTTTTTACCGAAAGCAAAAGAAAGTGATGATCTTATATCTAATACAAAACCACTGATAGTACCAAAAAACAAACGAAAAAATAACTAAAAACAACAAATAGAATAAAGAGGAATTTTTAAAGAAAATAATAAAGGGAGTACAATGAAATATAAAAAAAGAAAATCAAAGAGAAAAGCCTGAGGGCCGATAAAGGGTGGAACTACCTCTATCAAGAAGCAGTACAAATAAAACGAAAGAAAAAGGGAAAAGTACACTATTATAACCCGTGTCAGGTTTAAGAAAAAATTTTAAACAACTGCAACATTTGTATATCTCAACTATAAAAGCTAACAACTTATTATCTGACTACTAGCCACCTCTGGATGCCTCTTCTGCCAAAACCCCGATCTCAGTCACGTGAAGGTCCCGTAACTATAGACTATGTCATGTACCGTATTCATCGATAAACAAAACATGTGGTTGCATTCCTGGGTATATCCGAATTTGGAAGGTAAACAATACCGATCTTTTGGAGAGAGTAAGCCAAATTGCCACTTTTTGTCAAAAATTTTGGAGAAAAACCGGCCAAGCGAAAAACACCTAGGAAGAGACTACTTGCACCCAAGGAAAGTAGTTACATCTATGTAAAAACTCAACAACTCCTAAACCTTCTTCTAGGAAAGAGGTGGGGCACCTGTACTCTCTTGTCGGTAAGTAATAAACTCTGGGCTTGTCGGCAAGTAGTGTATGAGAACTACTTCTAAACAACAAGTACCATGCAAGCGGTAAGTGATAAACTCTGAAGAAG